CAAATACTTAAATTGGACTACATATATCAAACATCATCATATTCCACATGCCACATATCGATATCCTTAGCTTCTTGCCTTTTAGACAGGATGTTGATTCTAGGACTCCTGAATTCAATCTCCTCAACACACTTCGAAGCACAAAGCTTCAAATGTCCCTTGATTCTACAAAACAGAGTACCTATTTTAAGGTTCGAATTCTCTAACCTATACACCAGCTTCCAAGGCATCTCATCAGATGATGCAGAACTCCAGCAACTTCCGTAAAATGTCAAATCGCAGTTACACATAACCGGCATTACAAACTCGGCTTGTTTAGAAGCTGCTCCCATCATTCTCGTATTATGGACTTGGATTCTCACGGATCCCTCGGTGTTTATTGGACACTGATGTCGATACTTGATCACACAGCGATCAATTATGATCGCGTGTTTCTTCAACTTGTTGTAAATCACATAGGCCATACTGGGTAGATGGAGTTTCACATTGCCCCAATTTCCATTAGCAGCAGCCTGGATCGTTTTCATCTTAAAATCTCGATCAAATAGATCTCCTTCGACGGACATTGAAAATGTATTTCGATTTGTTCAAAACAAATCTTAAAAATAATCAGGACGAAAACTGTAATTATGAATATGTAATTCATAAATAAATTATAAAAAAACTATAAAAGGACAAATAGCATGGTCATTTATATAAAGGGAATTACTTCACTTGATCGTCAAATGTATCATGACAGTAACTGTTGATGCATTGTATCAAGTGACCGTCGATGGACTGCGTCACTGTAGAACTCATTTTTTGATGACGGGGATCGTGACGCGTGGTCCAATGTGATCCGGACACGTAGGCGTATGGAGGAGTCCCCGGGCGCGGGCAAGCCAGTAATATTATATTGGCTCGCCCCATGGTTTGCTAATGGATGCCCCTGCGGGGCCTATGGAATTTATTCGAATTTGAATTGGTATCACTGTAGGGCGGGATTTCATCAAATTTGAAATTTGAATTAGTAAACTATTCACAATCGGGTTCAATGTATTTTCCTCCCTTCGCTATGTAATCGGCAACGTCATTCACGGATCTAGCGCTCTGAACATTTAGGTGAAAATGTTCGCCGGAATCTGGGTCGAATATGTCGAAGAACCTAGGGTTCCGATACTTATACTTGCTGAAGAAGTGGAGAAGACAGTGCAGGTGATCTGCACCGTCGGAATGTTGTTCCTGACATACTCTGATGAATAGAACATTAATCGGAAAAATGAAATTTTTAATTTGATCGAGGACTATTTCCTTAGAAATTCGACATCTTGGATAAGTTAAGAAATAGTTCTTAACATTTATGCAGAAACGCGATGAAGAAGATGATGTCTCCATACTGTTCAATGAGGGACTTAAAAAACTTTCCCGTTCCAATTGGGGACCTATATATATGTATAGAGTTATTTGGAGCAATATGTCTCCAATTGTGAATAGTTCACTAATTTAAATTTCAAATTTGATGAAATCCCGCCCTACAGTGATACCAATTCAAATTCCAATAGATTCCACAGGCCCCGCAGGGGCATGTATCAGCAAACCGTGGGATGAGCCAATATAATATTACTGGCTCGCCCGCGCCCGGGGACTCCTCCATACGCCTACGTGTCCGAATCACATTGGACCACGCATCACGATCCCTGTCATCAAAAAATGAGTTCCATAGTGACGCAGTCTATCGACGGTCAATTTTGAAAATCAAAATTTGCATATATAACAATTTTAATTGCTTTAGCAATCGATTGATGGATTCGTCTTCCAAGAAGAGGAAGTGGGCAGGAGGTCCGTCTAGGACCTCAGGCTATCGTAAAACACGACGTGTTCTTTAGTTCAATAGGACTCAGTGTTCACAGCTACCAGTTCAGTGGTTCAGATCTCTGAGATATAATCGAAGGCTTGGTGTGTTTACACCTCCCGTGCAGCACAAAACGACATTTATCAGGGTGAATAATATTGATGACGTTGGCAGCATCGTTTGTATAAATGAATGTGCTACTGGAACCTCGGTCGATACGAGACATACCCAGAAGGTGAGATGGAATCGAATTGTGATTAACGGTTCAGCTAAGTTGACCAGCGAGGCCAATGTTCATAATATGAAGCAATGGATGTGGCTGGTGTTCGACAGACATCCCGGTAATTCTAATCCCATTGTTACCGACATATTCGTTGGTGAAAGTCGAGATCCAGACACTTGGATGTTCAACATGGAAAATGTTGATAGGTTTAGTATCGTTTGTGAAAAACGATACGTTTTAGAAGGTCATGGTTATTCGGATTCTTCGACGACGACTGACGACGGCAAACGTCTTTACTTTTGTTACATGCAATCGAGACCAATTTCTGTGAAAAAGAAACTTTGTGGACTCACAGTGTATAAGGATACGACTTCCGGATCCGTCGAGGACATGATGAAAGGAGCTTATTATTTAGTTTTTGCTACCTTTCATGAATATGCAATGGAAGTTGCATTAAATGTACGAATGTGGTTCAGGAGTGTTTAATAAAATGATATATATTCATTTTTCATTTTCCAATCGGCTATTACACGATTGAAATTGTCCATTGCTTCGTGGAATACATAACAGAAATTATAAATTGAAATTACACCTAAATTACAGAGATTTTTATGGATATAAAAATAAATTCGTTGGAATAAAGTCCCAGAAATATCGTCTTCCACGATGGGTTCTGCAGTAATTCTTATACACTTGATACTCAATAAGGAGTAAGAGGAGAAAAACTTATTGGGAAGTGATATTTTAATTTGTATACTTCACTCCTTTTAGGCGGGACATATTTGTAGAGTTTTTTTTTTTTTTTTTTTTGGGGAGGGGGCCAATTAGGTTTTTTTTGGTAAATGACAAGGTCATTTATTGGTAAATTTTTAATTAATCATGTTGTGTGATCACGTTTTTTTCACCAACTTACGTGCACTTCATTTCACTTGAAATTTAGTTTAGGTACAATATCAAATACGTTTAAATGATCATCTCAGGTAATGGGAAAATGTGGTTAAGCATCAAAATTTCTAGACAACGAAGATCGTGTATGAATGGTCTATTCAATACCAACGTTGAGAGCTATTCTTGAAAATGGTTGGAGAGACTGAATATAACGCACCCTCAAGAGGTTGCAGAATTCAGCAGTCTAGCGCTAGATTTTCAAGAAATATTTTTTCCCTTATTTTTGGCTCTTTTTTATCCTCTTTCCAACCATAACATATTTTTTGGGTCCTATCTATAGAGTCCACGAATTATATGGTTTCCATATAATTTTGTATAAGTTAGAATCAAGTTAGAAACTCAATATTTTGTATTATTTCTCCATATTAATAAATTCATCAATCATTTGCCAATTGTTTTTGTGTTGTTAATGCTACTTCATATTGTGTCATATAATCTCATTTCTTCTATTCCTAACAAGTGGTATTAATACACATAATTCTTGTTTGGATTTTCACAAAAGAAGTTTTCAATATGGATGAAATGGGATTTGTTTATAGGTTACAGCCTTGTTATTCTCTTGCAACAAAACAACTTGAAGGGAAAAATAAGAGAAAGAAAGAGTTACCAGTTTTTTTGGTGGGAAAATTGAAAATGTAAGCCTAGCACTTGATTTTTTGTATATTTATCCCCAACCGTACATAAATTAGTAAAGTTAATCCATAAATTTGCTTTTCCATCAAATTTTGCATTTAATTAAATTATGTGAGAATTGTCAAAAAGCTTGTTTGAGTGTTATAAATGATAGTTACATGAGTAAAGCTATGTAGCCTCATTGATGTTGTAATCACAGTCTAGATGACTCTAAATGATAGGCTAAATGAAATGTGAAATTAAATAAGTAATTTATTTAATTTAACATATCATTTAATGTCATATTACCGCCACATAAATTGGAGTTGTAATCTCAATGGAGCTAAATAACATTACTCTAGTTACATATACACAACATTTTTTCACATTTTAATTGCATTAAAGATCCTTATCCATTTTTGTTGTCACATTTTTGTCTTAAACTTTTTTCAACACGATTATTCATAACATTTCATTTCTTAGCAAACTTAATCCTTAATGAAGATTTTCGTTTCTAAACGAGGGATACATATTTAGTCACAATTTTGTATAGGGATGTTAATGAGTCGAGTCGAAACTCAAAGCTTGAGCTTGGCTCGAGTAAAAATAATTCGAGCTTTTTTGCCCGAGTCAAGCCAAGCTTAGCTTTTGCTCAGCTAAAAAATCTAGGCTCGACCTCAACTTTCGACTTGGGCACTATTAAACCAAGCCGACTTGAGATTTTTTTTTCCAAGGCCTTTAACAAGACAACCTTGTTAATTTTCATTTTATTTAATTTATTTTTTTAAAACACAGGAAGCAGTTTGTTGCCTTCAGCCTTTAGTCTACCACCTTGTTATTATTATCTTTTTCAAGGTTCGGCTCATCACGGGTCGAAAATGACCCGTGACACAGGCTGGCTTGAGCTTTTTCCGGGCTGAGCCAAATGTCGCCTGAGCCGTCGAGCCAAATTGACACCCCCTAATTTTGTATTTTTTTTTTACTAATTCAAAAATATAATATGCAAACTAGATTTTTTACTCTTTAGCGGATTTTTGAATAGAAATTGTCATCGGAGACAAGATGTAAATGATTAATGAAAAAAGTTAAAGATGAGAATGTGATGGAAAGATTGAAAACATAAATGTAATAATGAATGAATGTTATAAACCTTTGTACAATTAAATGTGACGTGAATATATTTAATTAGTTAAAAAAGTCAATATTCTTGTAAAATATTATTTTGTCCTCATTTATTTAAAATAAAAAAGTAAAGGGAAAAGAAAATGATAAGTAATAAAAAATAATTAGCAAAGAGAATTCACTCACTCATTGCACTGCACAGACCCCCATCCCTCCCTAGCCCGACACCACCACAATTGTTGGCAACACACTACTATCAATGTCATTTCTAGTAGGGGTGTCCAAAAGTCCCTAATCGAACCGAATCGAATCGAACCCTATAAATTAAATACCCGAACGGGTACTCAAATCGAAAATCGATGGGTTTGGGTC